GGTATGGTTGAGTCAAGTTCTGACCATCCCCTGCTTAGCCGAGAATGGTCAGAACTTAACCCAGCCATACCAAACATGATGTGTATCGTCGGACTCGTCTCGAAACCCTAATCCAAATATATGTGAACTATCTGCCAAGCGGCTATTTGCGAAGAGTCATGAGTGAATGCGAATGTGTGATTTGTCAAGTGTTCTGTTTCGCATGTTCCAGTGATTTGTGAGGTGACCCGTTCCGCATGTTCCACGGAGTACGTTCCAAAAACGCTTATTTAGGTTTTTATTTAATGTGCTTCTCTATTGTATTTAAAATTATCATTCTCACTGTAAATCCGTGCCATCGGGCTGCCCGTCAAGGAAATAAATCCGTCAAAACTCAAAGAATTTCTCATATCCACACGCTCATAACTTTTTCCAATTAGTCGCTTGGCAGATTAAAGACATATATCGTGTTAAGACGAGTTTGAAGATATATAGCTTGTTTGGAATGCTAGGTTAAGTTTTGACCATTTTCTCGCCAGCAGCTTTTGCTACTTCAAAACTTCATTTGTTCTTATTTTACTCAAATTTCGAAGAACCTCAAGTCGAAATGTGGTTTATATTTGAAACAACAACATTATAATTATTTGAATTATTTGTTTTTATTATAGACATGCTTAGCACTGGAGGGAGAATAATTAGTAGATATCGCTTTGCTGCTTGCTTGCTGCATTGCTTTCATCAACTGCAAAGAAAGAAAATTTCAAGGAAAATTGTTGCCTATCGGGGATAGTGTAGGAATTGAATAAAAAACTGGGAAACAAGGCTAAACAATTACCTTTTTTTCGTATCTTCATAGTAAAGTGCGGTAAAAATACTCAAAAATGGATAGTTATATGCTGTACACCACTGTTGCTCTATAGCTATGCAATAGTAACGTAGCTTACCTTAGTTAAGAGTTAAATAATGTTGCATGTTGTAAAAAAACGGCCTTTATTGATTCTTTAATCACTTGCTTTATCAAGTGGAACTAATTTCTCTAAAAGTTTTGCTTCGCAATGTAATTTGGCAAAGTGAATCAACTTTTTACGCTCAGCAGTGTCCGATATCGATCATATTAGGTTTCAGCATTTTCTTTTGCAGTTTCCGCGCCCAACAACATCCTTATGTTACCACGCAGGACTTTTGGTGATTTGAAGTAACAAAGTGTAGACATGGCTCCTTGTATATCTTCTTTTTACGATTGCTTCGTTTGCAAGATCAGACCATGTAAATAATAGGCTCCTAACAGCGTTCATTCACGGCTTGTTAGAGCGTACTATCAAAAGCAGTACATAGTACAAAAGATTTGGCTTAGTGTCAAGATGTACAGCGCGAAAAAGAGGCATTAGAGGAGCTATTTGAGTGAGAAGTATTTTGAAAACAGTGGGTGTATAAAGCAGCATTAGAACATAAGCGGCACAAATATAGTATAATCGTAGATCTGGACCCGTCCAGGAACCAAGAGGTTTATTTTCAGTTTCTGCTTTATAGAAGATCCTTATTTTGATGTATAAGATGTATGACAATCGCAAATGTGAAGATGGGTGGATGGGATTTTGTTGAGCATTTATAGTGGGAAAATATATAAAGATTCAAGAAGGAGTCTCGTTACGTTTTAGTTCCTCTAAGTTGATCACGCATACTCTTACATCAGAGATATGTACACTTGCTGCATTTTTACAATGGTTAACAAATTATTATAGTCTTTTTCAACCCGGAGTAGGCGAAACTAGTGGAGCAGCGCATCCTCACCAATGGCTCAGCGAAATAGATTAGAATGAAGAGACGCAGACTGCAAAGAGGCGCGAATCGCTGCGAAGCGAACTCCCACCAGTCCAATTTCCGCCTAAACTGACAATGAGTTGGAACTTACTATAGAAATTAAAAATGGGCCAGAAATGCGAAAATGTTGCTTGGCTTTTATGGTGATTTGAAATCTCTCCGAAACTAGCCTCGGAAGCTGAGAAACTATGATTGTACTTCCAAAGGTTTGTAGTATAGAATTACCTTTGTTTGGGTGAATCTGATCCTCAGGTGCTGCTCAGCAAGGAATTTGGCCCAAGATAGCCAACCTCTGGCGTGACCTTCGTCCGCCTGGGGTATCCGTATCCGGTTCTTCTCTTCCCCGTTTCCCTTTCCTCTTTTGTAAATAAGGGCCGCATGCACTAACCTCCCCGCTGGGGAGGGGATGGCAGCTTAAAAGAAAGCTTTATATTTCGAAACTTCAGATACCTGGATTTCACATTGTGTTCCAATCCGTAAGTATTCCTACTACCCTTCACTATGAACATGTTGAACAAGAGCGATAAGCTGTATGAACCGCATTTTCCAGCTATTGTATGATCCCTGATGATCCCCGGCGCTTTTCTTTAAAATCATTTTTCTTTCTTCGAAGTTAACGTAAACCTTCCAAAGTTCCAAAGTACTGAACATCTAACACGCCAGTGCTAAGCGTGTTGCTGATGAGAACAAATGAGTTTTTAAAAAGTCGAATCTTTCGGTAAACCTCAAATTTCGACCTGTGGATCATCAAAAATTTCATGACTTCAAAGCATCATTTGTTCTTATCAGCAACATGCTTAGCACTGTCGCTTTAGATAATATGCACAACTTTGGAGGTTTTCCGTTAGCTTCGGAAAAAGAAAAATGACTTTAGAGAAAAGCGCGGGGGATCATCAGGTATCGTACTAAAGCTGAAAAATGCGGTTCGCACAGCTTCTCGCTCCTATTCAACATGTTTACAGTGAAGGGTAGTAGGAATACTCACGGATAGGTACACAACGTGAAATCCAGGTATCTGGAGTTTTGAAATATAAAGCTTTCTTTTAAGCTGCGATTCCCTTCCCGCGGGGATGTTAATACATGCGGCCCTAACTTGTATGAAATATATTAGAGTAAGACTTATGTACCCCCTACACACCAGGTAAAGGAGTGGCTAATCTTTACCCTAACAGAGTACCTCAGCATTGCATTCGTTAAGACATACCAACTTGTGTTTTCTCAACATCTAACCGTGGAAATGCCAGTACTGTTCATATGGATGTTTGATGTCGACAGCATATGTCTGATCAAGTCAGAAGTCCACAATATTTTGGGCAGAATTCTGATTTTTTTCGAATTCTGATTTCAAACTTTACTAAGATCAAACTTTTTGCAATCGCTCGCGTTTGTGTGGAACTTACTTTGTCCTATCGAATGATACGTTTCCCACAATTTCATATTTACACTGCAGCGATCGCTCAAGGAACTTGCATCAATTTCCAAACAGCCTGACATTAATTGAGGGAGTTTAGTCTCTACACTAATGCTCTAAGACATTTTCCAATTTGACCCGTAGTTATGTCTCAACTCAAGAACGTTAGTCAATGCTTGGTTTAAGAAGTTCGAAAAAAATCATCTTTCCAATTTTAATTTAGTTTCTGCAAAAAGTCAATTTGGAACTCTTGTAATGTTTGGCTAGGATGTGAAATGTAGTAAAATAGTGCAGCATCTAGATAACATCGATACTATATCGTCGATTTCTCACAGTGTAGCGGGCGGAGCTTTGCCGTCGTTTGCCAGGGTATGCGCGTGGCAGCTTTTGGTAGCTAGAGAGTAAAAACCAATGCCTGAAGTGGAGGTTCAACAATTTTTTCAACGTGTTCAAATGTCTGCAGGGTCACGCCCGCTATACGCCTGGAAAAGCCTATACCAGTATCGCTTAAGAGCAAAGCAGAAGTAAAGCGATGTTGGGGTAGTTTTGGAATGAACTGCAAAATTGATGCTTGTCATGATATCGATTGCTATTTTTTACGTACAGTTCTCATGCATATACTAGGCGGTTTTGATGATGTACTGGACGTGAAGTGAACAAAAAAGTCTGATGTAAAACAAATAAGGCTTTTAATTGTAAGTGGAAGCTATGAATCTGTTTGTCGTTATCAAACAGCATATAACTTATTTGTATGGTTTAGGAGTGCCTAAGTGCCAGGTGAAAATACCTGCAGAAAATCCTATATTAGCGCTTTTCATGGAATAACTTAAATGAAGGATTTAGCTATATATTAGGTTGGCACGAAAGTTCTTGCGTAATTAAAACAAAATTCAATAACTTTTTTATGATTAAACCTAAATTCACAATTTGGTATGCTAAAAATATTAGAAGCCTTTCGCTTCATGATGGATGTTTAATCACAAAATTCCGTGAGCTGGACATCAAGAACGAAGCTCTCGAAGATGGGGCTTCAAATTTTGCGATTTTGAGTTTGGTGCCAGAAAATCGCAGAGTGCCGCTAGCTAGCCGAAAAAAATCTGTAGAATTTACTTACACAACAAACGTCCATATGTTACTTTGGAAGGCTTTGATCTTGCATGGTGAAGCACAAACAAAAAATTCGTGAATTATCTCATTTTGCGGAAAAAATCCCCTCATGTCCGCAGTTTTCCGGCGAAAACACTTTTTTACAATCGAGAAAACGTGCAAGGCTCTAAATAGGCACTATGTCTAATTTCTGGTTGCAAACTGTGTTTCTGTGGAAAAGTTGGAGTGATAAGGGGATTTGTCCTGTGAAATGAGAATTTTCACAAATTTTTTGTTTTCGCGTTTCCATGCGAGATCAAAGCGTGCCAAAACAACGTATGGACTTTTGCTGTGTAAGTAAATTCTACAGATTTTTTTCGGCTAGCTAGCGGCACTCTGCGATTTTCTGGCACCAAACTCAAAATCGCAAAATTTGAAACCCCATATTCGAGAGCTTCGTTCTTGATGTCCAGCTCACGTAATCTTATGCTTAAACATCCATCATGAAGCGTAAGACTTCTAATATTTTTAGCATACAAGATTGTGAATTTAGGTTTAGTCTTTAAAAAGTTATTGAATTTTGTTTGAATTACGCAAGAACTTTCGTGCCAACCTAATACTACAGTCAGCCGAAAAACTAAGGAGAACAATCAACAACAGCGCTGCCAACTTTTTTTTTGAGTAGAAATGGAAAACGACATACCTCACAGTTCCAATAATGATTGGCACAAATGTTAAGAGTAAAAATGCTAGAGAATTCATGCGAAAGCGTCGGAAAGTTCTCTTTTCCGTATCACTACTTTTTAGATGTGAATACTGCCTAGTTTTTACTATTTTCATCAATCTTGCTTTGTTCAATCTTTTTCTCTCTGTCAAACGATATCAATTTCATGGAGCAGCAAGGATGCCTTAGCACGATTGCCGTTTATTGCAGCAATGTTATAGATGGTGCGCACTTTTCGGAAATAGGTGCACTACACAGTCTTTCATCGTAAAACTTTCTGCTGTGGAAGCTTTTGAGTTAAAAATTTATCACCTGTTCACAGGAAATGAAGAAGACGCTTACAAGTTTATGCAAATTTCTGAAAGAAGCTAAATTATTGTTCTTCAAGCTGTAGACTATTATATTACTATTGAACCAATATGATAATACCAATACGACTCTCTTACTCATTATCAAGCATCTTTATTCGTTTAAGCTGGGCAAATAGTCAATGCAATCTAAATGGAATATGTCGAGACGTTAAACAACCTGCATAACATGCATGCCATCCTAGAGCTCCATATATCAATGAGTGATTACAATTAAACATTCAAACATAACTTCAAAATACTTTTTGAAAGATGAACAAGTTTTGCATAATTGGTGGTGATCTAAGCAAAGCTCCGAAGCACTGCATTATTGTGAGTGAACAAATGGAGTATAGGTAAAAGTAATCGTCCTCATCCCAACAAACTCCCAGTGGCCAGTTGACTGTGAAGCGCACTAGGCTATCAGCGTGAAAGCGTATGAGGCTACTTTCAGTCGAAATCTGAGCAAAACTCTCTTTCTATTTATGGTTCCTTGCTATTCATATTAAAGAGCTGTTTTTTTTGTCACAATTCACGGTTTTACTATTGTTTACCGTTGTTCCACGCTGCTGTGCTCATTTACTTCACTTTTATCTTGGTGAGCTTGGAAAAGTGATTTTCGGAACATTTAAGGCCCCTTTTTGCTGAACTCAACACGACAAAAGTTTTACACAATGATTCTTCTGCCACTATTTCAGAAGTAAAGTTTCCTGTAGGCCTTCACTTCAGTAGGGCTAGAATATTTTCAAGAAAGTGTATACTTTGATCTAACAAAATAATGTTCCAGCACAATCGTAAATCTTGTGGAAGTACGTTGCTACGACGGGAGAAAACGTTAGAAAAATCATTCGAAAGAAGTTTATGCATAAATCTTGAAGTTATAGACATGGTTGAGCAAGAGGTATAGCACAAGACGGCCATGTACGATCCCCCCCCCCCAAAGTCCTGTTTCAATACGACCCCCACCCCCTCAGAAACCCTCTTTCCTCATTTGTTTTCTAGGTAGTGCGAAGTCGGGGTTGCCATTGAGTGCTCACTCGAAAAACATACATAGCAGTTCTTTACTCCATAATAACGAAAAACGTATAAAAAGCTGTAAGAAAGGCAGAGTTAAGTTTTGATCAAGCAAAGCAACCAGTTGCTTCGCTTGATTAAAACTTTCAGTGCCTATACCGGAAACAAATGGTAGCGAAACAACTATCAAAATCGCACACATGAAAGTGCTGGTCTAACAGGTGCGTCTGCCTCTAGAATACATCCACAGATAATAAACGAAAATAATTGCAATTGAAACTGAACTCACCTTGGACGGGCACGATTTTGAAGTAACATAAATGCCCGCTGGGTCAAACGCCCTCCTGGACGGTTGGAATGCTCGAAATGAACGGTTCGGTACAAGGAAGAAAAGAGGAGACAAGAAGCAATTCAAAAACCATTGTAAAAACAATACAAAGCGTTCAAACTATCTTGTTTGCCGCCTTCCTTGCAGCAACGTGATAGCGTCGATTCAGCATGCTACCGCAAACCAATATTCTCCAGGTCATTTTCAAAGTGATACATGAGCAAAATACCGATGTATCTACTCTAGCGAGAGTAGTTTTAAATGAGATTTCTGCAGTAGAAGAAGGTTTACCAGTCACTATCATGCAAGATTTATGATTGTGAGACTACTTAAAAATGACTTTTAAGGAGAGACTACTTTGAATTGTGAGACTGTGAGACTACTTCAGAGATGACTTTTCAGGTAAGTTAATGGGGTGTGGCCACACCCCATTAACTTACCTCAAAAGTCAATTTGACAGATTTATCGTGTATGGCTCAACAGTCCAGATCCCGTCCTACGCATAATAGTAACCTGGGATTGATTTGTCTATTTTGGCTCGCGTAATAGTCGTGAAAGCGCAACTACTGAAATTGAAAAATGGCAAGATTTTGGCTGTCCTCTAATTTCATAGCTTCGCGATTATTTAAAGTGGGTTCCTCACGCGGGGAAAAAAGGAGTATTGCTTTGTATTAAGTACAAGACGAGGTAGCTAACTCATCTTTCTAACAAAGTTTATTATGCTTGGAAATTAGTAGTTCTTGCAAGCTTATTCACTGTTCGCAAACCCAGAAGGTCTGCTGAAACTTAGTGCATGAGTAATCCGACCTGCTGATTACGAGCATTGTATTTATTAAGCGTGATAGGGTGTCTTAATTAGGCATGTGGTATGTACACGGTGGCAGGTCAGCACCTAAGAATTTGCTTCAATTTGGCAACTAGAGTTTTCTGACTTTTGTTCACAAATATCCTCATTGACTGTTATTGTTGGTATCCGTTTACTTGTACCAAAAAGAGATATTATTATTTTGTTCAATTGTGCAAACGCTGTTGTGTTGTGAATTCCGCTAAAGGTCCCTCCCCTCTAGGGACCTTTAGCCGGATTCACAACACAACAGCGTTTGCACAATTGAGCAAAATAATAATATCCTTTAGCCGGATTTTTCCTCGATTAAAGCATCCGCGCTCCTCTCACTCATTCACGGGACTTACCGTTTATCACTTTAACTTGATTACGACCCCTCCTATACGACCCCCAGGTGTGGGGTGCCACACCCCATGCTTCACCCTGGTTATAGAACATCCCCGCTCTAAAACCAAAGGCCTGATCTGGTTCACATTCAGTTAGTCTTTAGACTGCTAGTGGGATGAAGACGACTATAGAACTGGATGCGGTATTTCTACCATTTTTTATTTTCAGATCAGCATTCTTTTTCAACTCGCAAAACTCTGTCGCTTTTTGACGCAGTCCAAGCATCGTACGAAATGTTAGATATTTATTATTTAGTGGTCCATAATTTCAATCCGTATTGCCACCATCGCTTTCCTGTCTTTTTCCTTAGTACGGCTTCGGTTACCATTCGACAGAGCAAAGCAAGCTCTACAAGATGGTTGGAGAAGCGTCTGCCTAGATAGTATCCTGCGTATAGTACGAAGCTGAGATCTGCGGTCAAAAAGGAAATAAATTGCAAAAAAATCGTATATTCGTCCCAAAACATATGAAGATTCTCCCACTTATTTCAGGCATTTACCTGACCTAGTAAATCAACTACACAATATACACTTATCAATTTGTATTTCTTCTAATGGCTATGGATGAAGAAAAAATGATGAGGAGAAAGTGGCAACCTCCGCTCCTGAAGGTCCTGTGTTCTTATATACAATATTATGTAGCATATACATCCAAAAGTACGATCGTTTGTCCCCTTGTAGGTGACAAGGTTCTCAAGAAGAAATGATGAGGTTGACGACCGTAACGCCATTCGTTACCCTAAATAGTTGATATACATCCCTTTTTACTCGGATACATGAATGCAGTGGCCCTTCAAGACAAGGTCTCAAACTTTCCTTGCTTACCTGGGGTAATCCGACGTGCTCATTTAAAAAATTTACTCTGAAGAGCGCGGAAATGACAAAAACCAGCACTTCCCAAGGTCCTCCGTTTCAAATCTGAACTAGTGGGAAGTTTGCGATGAGGCTAGAGATGTAAGTCTTGCGGGATTTTCATGTTTACAGCATTGCAGCATGCTGCCCCGGACGGCCTGCCACAACGCTATAACCATACGAAAGTGAGGACAAGAAAGTGAGGTTTTTTGTCCTCACTTTGACTTTGACCATACGCGAGGCATAATGACATGGTCAAAACACGATTTCTCGCAAGAACGTAGCTATTATACTATTGGGCTGTAAAGAAAGTTCTCGGGCACTTTTGAAAATTCCATTTTCAAACGCATTCGGCACTCGCTCGGACTTTGACTCCAAGTTTTTTATACCGTTCAATAGAGGGAAGTCTGAAATTTTTAACAAGCCTTCTGATTTTTATCGGTGTCGAAACGTGTTTGATCTGCACATCAGGAAGGGAAGTCTTTCCAGCCACAAAAGTTTCACAATTTTTCTTTCTACGGCCATATTTTTGTGCAGTTCAAAAAATTTCGTTCAAATCGAAGGTGATCTAATTGAGAAGCCTGTCAACTTCTGACCCGCAGGTGTACACGGATTTTGCGATTTGCGCTCAGAAATTACAAGCTGTCGAACTTCCTCTGATTTCAACACTTTTCGCAGCTGGCGTCGGTCGCTTCTGCGGGGATCGCACGCCTGGATGATGGGTCCAAAAGATGTGCAAGGCACACCCCAATAATGTTCGCAGTAATCAAAGATTTGTTCCACCCTATGCAAAGCGACAAGACTTTGAAGTCACTTACTCGAAAATGGTGCAATCTTAGGGGCAAAAAATGGTCGATTTTCAAATTTTCTGAGAGAAATTTTTTTTGAAGGTGGTCTTCAAAAAACATGAATAGTCCCCATAAGAGCCCCAGCAGATCTCTATATAACTACAGCATCTGGGCTCTCCAGCTTCCATCATGCTTGGGATAATTCTGCACAAATAGGCCACTTTTGGCAACGATCTTTTTCCCTTCTGCGCATGCTGGTGGACCGCAATGAGGTGCTGATAAGCTAGCAAGACCAATGTATGCTGTGGACAAAATTGTCTTCGCAATGAATTTTGTAGCATTAAAAAAGAATCAGTCTGCTTGAAGTTAGAGCGATTTGAAAATATTCGCAAGTGCCTTGGAACTTTCTTTACAACCTAATATTTCCCTAAAGCTTTTCGAGTATTTATCGCTAAATGCTCCAGGGAGTAGAACAAGAG